TTATTATGTGTGGACAACGAACGTCGTCTGGAGGCGAATCAGACCACGATGTGTCACTTTTTGCTGTGTACCGTGGCTATGTACATGCTGTTTACCGAGTGAGGTGACGTGCTCTGATTTGCCTCTAGACAGTCCGATGTCTACACAGAATAATTTCTCAAAACCTTCCCAACTTCCTTTGGTCTGTTGGTTGAGAGTCTTGAACTATCAACTAAGAAGCCTTGTGTTCATGTCTTGTCTATGTGATATGTGTGTCAGTTTGTCTTAATTGACCTAAATATCCTAACAAAAAAAAACATAAAAAGACTAATGATACTAAAGACAACCAACTAAATTCAATATTCCATTTAATGGTTTTATATATCATTAAGGAAGCAAATAATATCATTTGAGCTACTGCTTGTACGCAAATATAAATTCAATTGAATGCTTCATGGTTTCTTGTTGAAGGTAGGTTTAGGATCCGTAGTTACCTGGATATGCAGTTGCCTTCATCTGAACAGTCTGATTCATTTTAGATGGCTGAGATTTCATAAATAAAAATTTATAATGATTTTTTTTGTAATAAGGAATTCAATTTCAACGGTTCAAAATGAATGAAATAGCTGAAGATTGAACAACTGCACTTAATATGATAATTATATATAATCCCAATCTGCAGTAAATAATGTGCTAGCTCACTGCAGAGCTGTACCCTATTGACTCATTCCAACTCCTTTTTCTTATAGATGAAAAATTTCTATTAGGACAGCTTTTTCATTACTTTCTAAAATAATTTTTAGTACAAAATGTTGTTTTTGAAAGCATCAAGAAAGCTATCCCACACATACCCTAGCACATTATTTACTGCAGATTGGGATTCATTTTACATGGCTGAGATTTCATAAATAAAAATTTATAATTATTTTTTTTGTAATAATGAATTCAATTTCAACAGTTCAAAATGAATGAAATAGCTGAAGATTGAACAACTGCACTTAATATGATAATTATATATAATCCCAATCTGCAGTAAATAATGTGCTAGGGTATGTGTGGGATAGCTTTCTTGATGCTTTCAAAAACAACATTTTGTACTAAAAATTATTTTAGAAAGTAATGAAAAAGCTGTCCCAAACGAAGCCATAATTATCATAGAAAAAGGAGTTGGAATGAGTCAATTCAGTAAGTTCACTCTTCCATGGCTTCAGTAATCTGTATTCAGATCATTTAATTACCTGGGTGTAATTATCAAATCTAGCCGTCCAATTCAACTTTAATGCTTAGATTTGAAAAAAAGAAAGAAAAAAAAAACTATTATTTCAAAACCAGAAGCAAATTCTGGTTTTAAACAATTTCAAATCGAGGCATTCAACCTGAATTGTGAGGCAGAATTTGGTAATAAAACAAGATACGCTTATCATGATGATTAGAGATTGTTTGAATCCCAGACATGGAGAACCCACTAGAAGCAGTCGTTCATCCAGAGTTGCAAAATTTTACTTGTACAAAGAACATATTATGAAATTAGCCAACCAAGCCTTAAAACGCAAGGCATTTCGAATAAGAAAATCTTGTAGATCGTTTCATGCGACTAAAAAATATTAATATAATTGATATATCTGGCAAAAATTATCATGATCGGGCACGAATCTCGAGGCAAAAATCATGCCGGAAACTTCAAAAATTAAATCCGGAATCACTTGAACTCCGATTTCAACAAACTTGCACTCAAACTGAGCGTCTCGGAAAAAAGGAACCCAAGGACACCAAATTCAACTCAACCCAAATAAGTCCAAATCAAAGACCCAAAGCACATTCGGAAGGTTCAAACCACAATTTGAGTTACCAAACGGTCTCCGAACTTGACTAGCTTATGGTCGAATCGAGTGGCTCGACAAGACGAATCCAACGAGCCCAAGATCGCTGAATTCCAAAGTCATTAAGACCTTCAAATGTCCGATAAACGGTGCACGATCAAGGGATTCAATATCAGCCGTCCATTCGACCACTCCCTATTTGCCCCCGATCTCTCATCTATTTACGGACCATGCCACTCCTGAAAATCTATAAATATACCTCTCATTTCTCATGAGAGGGGGACCGAAGCAAGAAGGAGGAGAAGAAGAAGAGAAGAATAGGAGGGAAGAGACTCCTCCTCGACCACCGCCGGAGTTCCGCCCGAACTCCAAATGACGCCAGAATTCTGCCAAACTTCCACGGGATACTGAAATTCTGTCCAATTAACGACAAAGTATTCCAAAGTTATTAAGACCTTCAAATGTCTGATAAACGGTCAATGATCGAAGGATTCAATATCGGCCGTTCATCCTAATCACTCCATATTTTCCCATGATCTCTCGTCTATTTGCGGGTCATGCCACTCCATAAAATCTATAAATAGACCCCTCATTTCTCTTGAGAGGGGACCCAAGCAAGAAGAAAGAAGAAGAAGAGAATAAGAATAGAAGAGAAGAATAGGAGGGAAGAGACTCCTCCTCGACCACCACCGGAGTTCCGCCAGAACTCCAGATGACGCCGGAATTATGTCCGACATCCACGGGACACCGGAAGTCTGCCCGACTTCCACGGTCCACCAGAATTATGCCCGACTTCCACGGGATGCTGAAATTTCTCCCAATTAACGATAGAGTTCTCCCTTGACGCCGAAACTCCACCCAAGTGATGCTGGATCGGACTTCTATCTGACGCAAGACCTTCACTGGTCGCCAAGTTTCTACCAAACGTCGGACTTCTACCGGATGTCGAACTTTCACCATACATCTATCCGAAGATGAATTTATTTTTATTGTTGGACTTCTATCCGACATCGTCCTTCAGACCTTCGTCGTCAAACAACAATCTTTCTAACCTCCGTCGCCCGCCGACTATGGTCCTCCTGACTTACGTCACCTGCCGACTAAAGTCTTTCCGACATCCGTCGCCCGCCGACTACGGTCCTTCTGACTTACGTCGCCCACCGACTACAGTCCTTCCGACCTCCGTCGCCAGCCGACTACGGTCCTTTTGACTTACATCGCCCACCGACTACATTCCTTCCGACCTCCATCTCCAGCCGACTACGGTCCTTCTAACTTACATCGCCCACCGACTACAATCCTTCCGACCTCCGTCGCCAGCCGACTACGGTCCTCCTGACTTACGTCGCCCGCCGACTACAGTCTTTCCAACCTTCGTCGCCCGCCGACTACGGTCCTTCTGACTTACGTCGCCCGCCTACTACAGTCTTTCCGACCTCTGTCGCCCGCCGACTACGGTCCTTCTGACTTACATCGCCCACCGACTATACTTTCCGACTTCCTTCACCCGTCGACTTCGGTCCTCCTGACTTATGTCGCCCGCCGACTACAGTCTTTCTGACCTCCGTCGTCCGTCGACTGCAGTCCTTCTAACTTACGTTGCCCACCGACTACAGTCCTTCTGACCTCCGACGTCAGCCGACTACGATCCTCCTGACTTACGTGAACGACAGACTACAATCTTTCTGACCTCCGTCACCAGACTATGGTCCTCCCAACCAAACGAACACGTCAATAGTGATTCTTTGTATTCACATAATGTAATGTATTCTATAAAATGTACATCAAGCTAAGGCCTTCTCCCAATGAAGGGCCTCATTTGTAATCAAATGCAATACTAGTTTATTCATTCAAACTGGTCTAGGCCCCATGGGTTTTTCCCCTTTTCAGGGGTTTTCCACGTAAAAATATTGGTGTCTCCTATGAATACTACACACTCTCTTATCTGATTGCGTGTCGGATTTTCATACAATGCCAAGACGTTAAACTTTATATCTCTACCGCCGTGAATACTCGGGGACGCAACAATTTATATTTTATTTTACTCTATATGTATTTTTCGTCCTAACTCTATATAAAATTAGAACATTTTATTTATATAATAAACTAAATACTAATCTTATTTAAAATAACCATAAGCAATTATTGTTCTTTCAAAGCTTTTATATAAATAAGACGGGAATAAACTAGATGACCGGCACGGTGACTTCGACAACAGATAAGAGCGCGAAAGATGTCGCCACGTGTGGAAAGTCGTTGATTTGCTACGTGGCGAACGGTCGTTTGTGGGTGCAACGCGTATTCCTTATGCAGAGAAGTCTGTTCAGAACTGGCTGCTTGATCGGGTCCTTCAGCTTTGATTGTAACGGCCTGCGGCTGCGTAGGAACTGTTTCGATGAATAGATTATCGTTATCTAATCGGAAACAAAATTATAATATATATTATTAAATTTTTAGGCATTTTTAGATATATAATTCATTATATTTAATTATAGCAAAAAAAAAGAACATTAAATAATAAATTAAAAAAATATAGGTCAAAAATAGCCTTCCCTGATTAAAAAAAAATACAATATCATGAAATAATTTATTTTATTTACTCCTAATATTTTATTATAATAGTTTTTAATGATTAGAAAATGATTGTGAGAGCTACAAATAATGATAAATAATTTTTTTGTAATGCATAGAAATGATGGAATTTGGCTTTACATAAAATAGCTGAATTATATTAATGTAAGTCAGATGATTCTCTTATTTATAGATTTAAATTACTTAGATAAAAATGAATTTATCTAAAGAAAAATCTACACATCACAAAATTATCTTTAATAATTTATCATTATACATGATAAATTTGAGAACATTATTAAATACTTTAATTTCATTTATTATAATAAAATTGATACGTAGGGACATTTAATGCGGTGGTGTGAGGAAGAATTTTGGCGGTGGTCAAAAAAACTCTGATTGTAGTTGAAAAGAACTCCAGTAGTGATCAGCGGAAAGAAAACTCCTAAATGCTTCTCTTATTTTTTCTTCTTTTTCGTCTCCCTTATGTGAAGAATGAGAGGTCTATTTATAGTTTATTTACTGATCAAATTGAACATAAAAGACACTAACTAGGCCCGGGTCTCCTAAATTTGATTAGGTTTGACTGTATTTGGATTAGATTTGTTTTATTTTAAGATCGAGTGTATTGGAATAATTAATTGGTTAATCATATATTATGACATCTCAAAGTAATCAGCCTTCAACATGCTCTTGCAACATAGGTTTGCAAAAGTAGCAATAGCATGAGCCAATGACTAAGGTCTCGTTTGGGACGGTTTTTTTATTGCTTTCAAAAACGGAGTTTTAGTACAAATTATTTTAATTTTGTACTAAAACTCCGTTTTAGAAAGCAATAAAAAAGCCGTTAAAAAATTTTGTACTAAAACTCTGTTTTAGAAAGCAATAAAAAAGCCGTCCCAAACGAAGCATAAGATTTTATTTGAAACAACTTTCTTACTGCTTCTTAAAGCAATTTTTCAATACAAAAACTAAAAATTTTACACTGAAAAGCTGTTTTAAGAAGTAGTAAGAAAGCCAATCCCAAACGAAACATAAATATAAAACTATGTTATCTTGTAGCATCCAAGCATTACCATTCTAATAACCTTGAAGAAAACTTCCTAGCAAAAGGCATCAGGGATTATTATAGCTTTGGTTGCAGGAGAAAATTATTTCTCCATAATCATAATTTCAAGTGAGAAATATTGAGATTTATAGGCCACCATTCCCCAAAATATTCTCAAATAAAAGCCTACTAAGCCCATGCTACTACTACCTTGAATATTCTATCCATTGAATCTCCAACTTTCCAGAAAGAAAAAAAAGAGCAAAAAGCTTCAGCTAGGCCCTCAGGCACAAGCTGATCAATTATGACACAGATTAGTGTTGTAATAAATCTGACTAAACCTTTCATTAGTGAGAAGTGGATATTCCTCTACCCATTACAGCTACAGGGGATGATAATTCACATGTAAGAGAACATAAAAGATATGGAATGGCTTAGAGATTCAATTAAGACCAAAAGTAGTAACGCATGTACAATAAATATCAACAATTCTTCCAACACAAAATCTAAAAACTGGGCTAGATCACCAAGAACTCAGACAATGGAGAGATCTAGTCATTGAGGAAGGGCAACTTATTAGGTGCAGACACCGGAAGAGAGAATCATATGGATTTCTCTCTATTTACAGGAATAGCATAGTCAAAGCGCAGCTACTGTAGCAGCTACGCTTTGACTGCACTTTTACTGTAGACAGAGAGAAATCCGGATAATTCTGAAACGGTTCTGACCAGGCTAGAAGTTATCCTCTCTCATATCTGCTGGCTTTCTCTTTGCTTGCATAGCCAGCCTTGTATCTCTCTCTCGCTCAAATTCTCGGATATCAGTCCTCTGTAGAAAGGAGACCCTGTCGAGATACTGATTCGAGCTCTTCTTGTAGGCATCGAGCTCATCTTCAAGCCCCTTGTTCTCTTCCTTGAACTCACCCCAGTCTTTCCTGGTTTTGTCGAGGACACTAAGCTTCTGTTTCTTCTTTATCTGATCAAGAATGCTGTCGAGCGCTGAAGGCTGGGCACCGGCAGTCTTGGCCTTTTCAACTGCCTCTCTTGAGTTGGCATCAACGAGTTTCTTTACTTCCATCTCCTCGCCTGCAAAATCCCGGACTTCTTTGATCTTTGTGAGAGAACAACCAAAAGTTAGAAGTGAAAAAGATTTTGTCAAATAAAATGGACAAAGAAGTAATATGATAATTTGATAAGAGTTTAATGAAAAACATTACAGAAAATGGCAAAAAATTAGCAAGCACATTTTAGCTAGGCAATTTATAGCTTGACTAAAACTCCAGATATTAATGGAGAAAAAAGGCAATTGAGAAGAAGCCCATAACAACCCCATATAGCATTGCGAGGACAGGGAGGTAAGAGGTAATTGAATTCTCATTGCCTTCAACATTTTTGCTTGTCCTGGCACTCCACATTAGTATTTATTATGACCCATTATAAATACGTAATAACAACCTATAAGCCTAACTACCAAACATTCCTCAAAGAGATGTCCAGAAAATTTTTTGAGTTGGTTTGTTGTGCTAAAACCTCTCAAAAGCATATTTTCTAATGATTCCAGCTATTTCCATAAATAAGCATAATGAGATTAAGGTTTCATTTGGGACAGTTTTTTACTACTTTGTAAAACAGTTTTCTAATGCAAAAATTTCTTGAATTAAAAATTTTATAATAAAAAATCGTTTTAAAAAACAGTAAGAAACCTGTTCCAAACGAAGCCTAAAACCATTTGAGAAAACCAAAACAGTTCATATAAAAACTAACAGCTAAAGCAACCAATTTCAAGGCACTCAAACAGTAGCATGGTTCCATGGATATGTGAGGGAGTATTTAGAACAAGCTACAGTTATTGAGAAATCATCTAATGATGCTATCAAATGAGTATAACCTTAAAGCATATATAAATCAATAATTTGAAGACATGGGCCTGTGATCTAGAAGACAATCTACGGTCGTCTAAAAATTTTCTTGAGGAGATCTAATGCTTTGAAGTGATATACAGTGCAAAATATAAGAAAATATATAATGTTCGTGAAATTTCTAATGAAGATGCAATAATCTAATGCAATATGAATATGAAAACAATAATGAGGATAATAACAGAAACATTTATTTTGTATGATCATTTAAATAAAAAACAAAAAATGGCGGCCTTCCGATGGCCCGGTTAGGAAAGTAGAGGCATTAGATTTGACTTGTATTAAGAAAGGTAGAGATAGACCTAAAAAGACTTGGTTAGAGAATATTAGAAATGATATTTCGTTATTAAATTTAAATAAGAATTTGACTTTTAACCGCACACAATAGAGAAAAAATATTCATATAGCTGACCCCACGTAGTGGGGCAAAAGCTTGATGTTGTTGTTGTTGTTGTATTGAAAGATAAAAACAAAATGCAAATCTACATAAATCAATAATAAATTTTCTAAAAGATATTAACAACAACAATGATTTCATATCCTAAAAGGAAGTGCAGCCGATTGAAAGAACCTGCAAAAAATGGCATTTAAATATGTAGCAAACTCAATCACTAAATATGTAAAGAAGATACGGTCTGGAACAAGCATCAAACAGTCATACAGTGTGCCTGAACGAGGGCATCACATTCCAAAAGAGGCTAGGCAGGAGAAAAGCCTTAACATGCAAAACAATGCAGTTGCCAATAAGTAACAATATACTTTCAGATCCGTCTATTTATAGAAGGACAAAGTGCAGCCGAAAGTGGCAAAAAACTACCACCTTTTGTTCATCAACCGAAACAGATTGTCGTGATCATTGGTGCTTTATCGCATGTTGCAGGATGACTAAAGACTAAGGCTTGTTTCGGATGGCTTTTTTATTGCTTCTTAAAACTACTTTATTGTTTAAAAATTAAAATTTTTATACTAAAAAGCTGTTTTAAGAAACAATAAGAAACCGTCCCAAATGAAGCCTAAGATTTCCTAGTGCAACTTATAGTTTAGTATGATTTCATGCATAGGAAATTGAGCATTCATAGATCTTGAGCCACCAATTAATTTAACTGAACTTTTTTTATGTAAATAAACAACAAATTAAAACCCGACTGAAATGAAATGATTGAAATAATCCGAAATATTCACCAAGGAATTAGAAAACAAAATCAAAGAACAAATTGAATTTAGTTGCCACAAATTGAATTTCAAGTGTCAAAATTTGATAAAGATCAAGAGCACAATAACTCAATATCAAATCTCTAGTTCTAATTAACCGCAAAAATATCAGACTGCATAAAAACACAGCAGACTGAAAGAATATGCAAAGAATTAACTTTCGGTTACTAGCCGGATTTAATAAAATAAACTAAATCACTGAACATTTAAAGAAGAAAGGAAGAACCTAGGAGAGCAAGAAAAAGATAATTAGGCTTCACCCTTCAAAAAGGACATCATATCCAAGAAAGGAATAGAAAGGAGAAAAGTCTTGACATCTGAGAGAGAGCAATCTAATTAAAAAGTTAAAGGTGTCTATAGCAGTTTGGATACTGTTATGAACCAGCCCAGCCGGCCCAAACTAGTGGGCCCCACTAGGAGAAATTAATGAGAGAGGGTTGGGGGCTAGGGTGAGAGGGAAATTTTGAATTAAGGATGTTTAAATTAGAGAATTAAAGTATTAATAGTATGACTTATTTAGGGTTAGGGGTTGCATGCTTTGATTGGTTTTCTTGTAGTTCCTTGGCGTCTTGGGCTCTAGATTCTTTGTCTAGAGATTAAGAGAGAACGAACCTCCTCTCGAATTGAGGATCACTTGTATCTTGTTTTCGTCCTTGTTGGCTTTGATTCTCTTATTGCAATCCATTGTTTTGGTGCAGTTTTTCACCCAGATTTTGCATTATTCTCGCTGCTTTCACCAACTAGTGATAGGTTTGCTTGCGAACTCAATTATTCCGTTAGTTTTACTTGCGAACTCAAGTATTTCCTATCAGATAACCATATTTATAGAAAAGTGAGGTATCGAAAGATTTAATAAAAGAAAATTAAATAATCAATTAAAAGTTGGTTTTTTCAATTCTTCAATCAACAAGGACGTTGCAGTAAGAACAGTGCGTCTAGCATAACTTATATTGAAGCAATCTCAAAGTGCTTTTGGAACATACTGTAAAGTACTAAGAAAGGGGCTGTGATGAAGACATCGTCAGTGATTTCGACACATGTACCATCGGAGACACCGGAGATCGACGGCCACGATCAGGAGTTTATATTTTAAGTCATTTTATGTAGTAGTTTATTTTATTTTTTAGTTTTACTGTTTTATCCTTATAGATGATCATTTGATATTGTAGCCCCGAGGGTATTTATGTCTTTTAGTCTTTGTTTCATTTTGGCATATTTATAAGAGGCTTCATGCATTGTATTGGGGGATGATTATTGATGAATGAAAATTTCTTTCTCTTGTTGATCTCTTTGTGAGTTCTTGAGGAGATAGTATTGTGAATCTCTTTGTGAGTTCTAGTGGATGAAGTGTCGAGGTTTGTGATCCTTATTTTTCTTTTCTTCTCCACCGATCTCTTCCTCCACCTTAAGAGAAGACAACCTAAACTCCTTGGCTTGAAGAACCCGACCCCACCCAGCTTGCCGCCGCCCCTTGGAGCCCAAGCTGCCGGCTGCCTTCCCACCACCGACCAGCGACCTTGCCATCGGCCTCACGCCATCCGCCCACCACCCCTCTCTCCCCTAGCCATCATATTTGAAATTCGAATTTCAAATTTCAAAATTCTTTCCAAATTAGGATATCCAAATTAGGAAAGTTTTTATGTTGAATCCAATTTTAAATTAAGTCAAATTGGATTTAATAAATTTTTTTTCCTAGTCACCACCACCTATTTGAAAACGCCCTCTCTTTCTCCCCAATCCCCTCCCTCCTCCTTGATGTCGTCGGCCCTTGATGGGTTCTCCCCATTGAATGCACATTAACCCTCACCCTAATTTGGAATCCAAGTTTGATTTCAAATATTTTCCCTCCTAACTCTCTAAAACTGAAATTAATTTCAGTTTTTAGTCTAAGCCTCATTCCCCTCTCTCTCTATACTGTCGGCCTCCCCTTCCTTGGCTCCCTCACATTAATTCTCCATCAAGGCATTAATCGCAATCAATTTGAAATCAAATTTCAAATTGCTTCCCTCCCAAGTTAATCTAAATCTGAGAATAATTTCACATTTAGCCCATACCACATCCACCCCAACCTAACCTAATTTCTCCCAAAGCCCTAGCCAACTCCCTCCCACTCCAAGCCGCCATCCTCTCTCCCTCTTCTTCCTTTTGGGTGCTCCTTCAACCCTTGGCAAGGATGCATGGCGAATCCCAACATTGATCACGGATTCGTACTCGACGCCCACGGAGACATCCACATCATTCGATCACCATTCTTCGACGTCGGGTTTGATTTTGACGACACCGTTGAAGATTACTTGAACCGAATCCTCCCCCATCTCGTGGACATCCTCGACGATCAATTCTTGGACTACGAGTGGACCATCAACGGCCATCCACCCGTTTCTCCAACTCCTGCTTCTTCCCCGGTGACGAGTCCTCTCGGCATCACTTGTGTAATAGTGGTATCTCTAAGTGTGCTTACGATCCTCTTCCGCTAACCTCCACTTCCAAGAGTTGAGTGAGGGACCTCAAGGTGAACTATCTAGATTTTAAACTTATGGCTTTTGTTATCTTTGCTATTTGCATTACCCATTAGTCATTAGTTGTTATTTTGTTAGTCCTCTTAATCTCATACTGTAACCTATTGCTATTGTTTAATCACTCATGTCATCTTCTTAAACTTTCACTTGAGTAAACTAAGAGTTTGTCGGTGGTAAAGCAACGTTTATCACTTCTATTAATATCTTAATTGCAATTCTTGTCTTTCGCATAATGTATCACATTAGGCTGTGTTGTAAGATACATTAGAGCATCGTAACTTATAATTCTATTGGGACCAAAGAAAGTTTCATTTTTATCGCAACTTACAATTTAAAAAAGGTAAAATAATTGCAGGAAAACATAAATATGACCAATGCAAACAACCACAAATTCGGAAAACTTCTTTAAAGCCTCCAAGATGGAAATAAACTCAATGGAAGACTTCAAATGGACAAGATTGAGACAACATAATTTAGGGAACCCAATCTTGTGGTCCTACATCAGCTGGGGCCACAAACAATGCCAGGAATAACCTCATGCTAGCTTTAGCCAGTAAATATGTTCTTACGATTGGCTGAAAATGCCTCTATGATATTTTTCCAACTAAAACAACCAAACTAAACAGGCTGAGCCCAAAAACATAAATTAAATGGGATACAAGCAGTTGTGTCAGAAAAAGATTTCATTACTTGATGCAAACAAGAAAATTATGAGTAGCTGATGATATTCTTCTTGTTGATAAGACTAGAGAGGGAGTTGAAGGTAAACTTGAATTATGGAGGTCAACCTTAGAGTCTAAATGTTAGCCATTAAAAGAGAAGCATACTACTAAGTTAAGTGTTGCATAGATGAGGATGCTTAGGTGGATGAGTGGCTTTACTCTTAGAGATATGATATGAAATGAGCATATACGTAAAAAGGTTGGAGTAGCTCTACTGGAAGATAAGATTAGAGAGAGTTGCCTTAGATTGTTTGATTACATAAAACGGCGGCCTTCCGATGACCCGGTTAGGAAAGTAGAGGTATTAGATTTGACTTATGTTAAGAAAGTAGAGGTAGACCTAAAAAGGCTTGATTATAAAATATTAGAAATGATCTTTCTTTATTAGATTTAAACGAGAATTTGAATTTTAACAGAACACAATGGATAAAAAGTATTCATGTAGCCTACCCCACGCAGTGAGACAAAAGCTTGATGTTGTTTTTGTTCTTGTTGTGGTGTCCTATAGTCAATTTTTGAAAAAAAATAAAAGCAATGTGCCTATGCCCATTGACCTTATGTGGTTCTTTAAAAACTGGTGAGAAGATTATGCCAAGTTAAAAATTCTAAGGGAATGAATTGACTAGTATGATTTGATATTAAAAAAACATGACTACGTTGTGCATACCTCAACTTTTCCAGTGGAAGCAGAGGCAGATGTAACTTCCCTAACAGCCGAAAGAGCTGCTGCAGCAGCTTTTCTAGCTTCCTCACCTGTGCAATTATGAACAGTTGCTGGTCTTTTCCCCATAGTCTCCTGGATGGCTGAAGTCTTCTTAGGTGCAAGGCCCAGAGCCACCATCCAGTCCTAACAGGGATAAATGCGTTGACCTTACAATTCAATGCAATTTGAATGATGTGTTGTCGTGATTACAATATATTTGCCTGAAAATGTAACCATATAAGAAATATAAGTTCTTACAGGAGTTTTTTGAGTTTTTGCTTTCCTTTCTGGAGTTGACCTACTCATTGAAGGTTTTGGCATTTTAACAGGTAGGCTCCTATTCATCCGTTCCCAAGTAGCATCAACCCGAGCCTTTCTTTCTGGAAGTTTTAAGATATAAAGCTACAATTTAATCTAAAATCACATTAAATACAAATGCAAGTTGAGAAAATGGATGAGAACTAAAACTAATAAAGCAAAAGGAGTAAAACAGAGGTTGATAATTTGTGCTAGAAATAATAAGCAGATGTTCCCATCTGGTGAAAAAAATGTATTTGTATATAAATGGATAGTAGTTTCCTGGTAAGGAACAAAAAAAATTCATAGCATCAAACTACAATAAGAGAAATTGATGTAAAAGTTAAGTATGATCTTCAAATTAATTTATTCAATAGCACTACAAAGTACAAACACAGAGAGAACTCACCATTTGCTTCAATCTCCTCCTTTAAACTAGGCCTCTGTTCAACTGCTTGGACAGATCCATTTGAAATTCCAACGAGCTTTCCTACACCAATAACAGATTGAGAAGCAATAAAAACATTTTTCTAATAGTAGTTATCAAATAGCTGTAAAGGATTACATTACAGTGTGAGAAAATATGTACGCATCAATCAAGAAATAAGTTTCTCTCATTGACAATATAAGGCTGGCTTAAAACAAATTAGTCTCATGCTCTCCAGATAGTTATGATGGTAACAATGAGAAGTGGCGATGTTCCATCCAAGGAACCACTTATGGTAAAAAATATTCAATTTGTACTATGAAGCCAACTTATGGAATTAAAGTATAGTAAATTCAACCATAGAATTGTCTGGACCGGCCAGACTTGAGAAAGCTAGAAGGAGAAGAAATCCTAAATGAATATCATGAGGACAATGGGAACCTAATACCTTATACCTTTTCAATATGATCCATGTTTTCTTCTAGTAACAATCAAAGCAACTATGTTTCATTTCAGAGATCAAAAGATCAAATATGCTCGAACAAATATCTCATACGATAGTACAAACATGAGCCAACAGAAAAGACGCCTTCGCCATCAGAGAAATCTATTCTGCTCAAACCACCCCCTTTCGGCTATACATTTAACTTTGCCAACTAGATGAAAATTGATGATGAGGACATCGAAGATCAACGGCTACGATCTTGAGTTATTTATTTATATGTACTAGTTTATTTCATATTATTGTTTTTCCCTTTATACCCTTACGGGTGGTCATGTAGTATTATAGCCCAAAGGGCATTTTAGTCTTTTATTTCTTTTCTTTTCATGACTGATTTTAACTTTTATGCACGTGATTCGTCATAAGCTCGTCTTACCGCTCTTAGTGTTTTATTGCGTCGTTAAATCCAACATCAAGATATAATTATTTGTTCTACGAATATTAAGTGTGCAAATTCCTTTAAGTAATTTATCTTTGCATGTATGTTTCACATCAATTGACTCAGGTAAATCCAATCAAAGCTATTAGATTTCATTCCAGAGGCCAAAAGATCAAACATGTTTGAACAAATATCTCATATGGTGGTACAAACATGACCCAACAGAATAGATGCATTTGCCAGGAAAGACTTCTATTCTGCTCAAATCGCCCCCTTGTGTTTATACAATTAACTTTGCCAATTAGCCGAAAATCTACTATGGTAAATTCAATCATATTCTACTATGTTCTGCTCATATTTGGCCTTCCAATAGCTTTTTTAATCTGAAATGCCAATTCTCCGAGATCCAGATAATCTAGTAGGAGAAGAAATCCCAATAAGTCACAAGAAAATTGTGGCAACATATTATCTCTTGTGCTAATAGAATCCATCTCTTGGTACTAACAAAATATTACTTGAGATTTCATGTCAAGACCAAAGATTGATTTCACCCTTTATAATAATGTTGAATTCAGATCCCATTTAATGACAAGACAATTAACCATAATACATAGTATCAACGTATGCTGCAGATTCATTCATCATAAACACATACACTCTCCCAAAGCTTGTGGCCTCAAGATAACAAGCAATCTTATGAAAACCATGGCCTCGAAGAATATGCAAAATCATGTACAAATATCCTACCAACCACATGCTTGCAGACCAAATAATTTTCCAAATGCTCAAATGCAAAAGATGAACATGAAGTGGAATAAGTGACATCAAGAACTGTAGGAAAGCTAGAAAAAACCAATCATTTGGCAATTTACAGAATAGCATTCACCATGCATCAAACTGCCGTCAAGGATATGATTGAGGTTTTAGGATTTATAGTTCAAGGTTTATGGCTTACAGGGTTTAGAGGAAACAAACAGAAAACTAAGATTGCAAAAAATGTTAAAAGAACCAATTCAGAAAGTAGTAGCATGTCAACTCATCTAATCCAAAGAAATGAAGCACCAATGTGTGGTAAACTAACATGCAGTAACACTGGGACCATATAACTAAAACTAATATCTTCTAAAACATTCTGTTAGGAAATACTTGAGTTCACAAGTAACCCTAAGGGAAATACTTGAGTTCGCAAGCAAACCTAACCACAATTGATGAAAACAGTGAGTAAAACTGCTGTTTACAGCAGGAAAACAGCAACGGTACATCAGGTTTCTTGGGGAAAACAGAGGAAAACTGATAGAAAACGAAGTATTCCACTAGTAGATGCAGGAAAACAGCAAATGATACAAGTTTCTTCAATTTGAGAGGAAGAAACAACTCTCCAAATCTCTAGCCAAGCCTAGAGCCCAAAAGAAACAACCCTACATCCCAAATCTGATTTCAAATTCAAGATGATCCCAAACCCTAACAAGAAAGACTAATTAAAGCAAAAGGAAAATTAATTAATCCCTAAGCAGCCCCTCATTCAAAATTTCGCTCCCAAATCCTATTTAATTTAGGCCATGGGGCCCACCAATGCTGCCACCTCCCTCTCTTGCCAGCCTCCCCCTTTGGACTGGCGGGCATAGACATGAACCGGTCCAGGAGTTATTTTAAGCTTTACTTGATCAGAGCCGATCTTGCTCTGCAAAGAGCCAAATAATAAGCTCAATTCTCCAAAGAAAAATTTATGCCTCCCATGAAAAAGTAAATAAAAGTTTCCCGTTACTGATATAACTTCCCTTAATGGTGGACAACATTTTATCCACGCTGACGCTATACTTATAAAGTATACAATAATTAGAATACGGAATTCCACTATATGCTATTGAATTTAACAAGAAGCACACTTCTGCTTCCTCAAACCTAAATCAACATATTTTTCAGAACTCCATGTTTCATGTTTCAGAAGCGAGACAATCTAAAAACCAATAATATACATTAAATGAAGATTGCATGAAATCCTGGAAGTCACAAGAATCAATATGACTTCTTGGCTATCCCCAAACATTATCGGATATACTTTCTTTGTTATGTACAAACCTAAATACAATAACTATAAAAAAGAACCATGAGACTTGTGATTATTAACTGAACAATTATAATTTCTCATTGACCTAATGTGGATCATCTTCTGGATTTGTATTTATGTCAACAGTAAACGGTTTTTAAATGAAACTGTAATAGTTTGAAAATTTTACCCAGCCTTCCCCAACCCCAAAACTTGACCCAAAAGTTATTGTATCATTGGAAACTAGGCATTCTATTCTACATGTTTTGACACTCAATTTTCTTAGAGGGCCGATAGGTATCACATCAAATGTGAATGGTGTTTTTAATAACCCATTTGACCTCAATAGATTTTTGGCAGGTACAAGTTTCTCACCGAGCTTGCTTGTTTCAGTTTGGTTGGCACAGAAAAGAATGGTTCCACATCTATCAGAGAAAGGGAAGTAACGAAATCACAATTCATGACTTCAAGCAAACATTAATCCAATAGCAATCTTTTTTTTTTTTTTTTTTTTTTTTTTTTTGAAGAATACACAACAAGAAGCTGACAAAAAGCTTGAAAAGTTGTAAGATCCAGTAAATCAAATCAAGATATATTACTCATCAATTCAATTAAGAAAACCTGAATACAGATTCGCCACATTTATGTGAGCAACCACCAAGAAGATCCAGAGGGCTCTAATCTTATACTTGACTACAAGCTTGAAAGTTTGTCTAGAAGAGCATATTAGTTTAGAAGCTAGAACATTTAACCAGTCAAAAGCCTTTTTCCCAAGAGCTAGTGCAATGCCAATCAATAGAGCTTCACCAATTTCAATTGCTATTCAAGTTTATTATTAAGCACTATTAGCAGCAATGTCACATTAGAAACAAAAAAATGCATGCAAATACTTCTCAGATGGCCTCCAGTAAGTGAAAGGGCACTGCTTACATGTTCATATGTCAAATCTAATCTTGCAATTTAGCCAGCTTACCCATTAAATTAGCAGATTTAGATTCTTTCCAATTAGGGCTGTAACTGCATGGTTCAATTACCCCACCCAAGCAATAAATTCCATTTTGAATAATTCGAATTGGATCCCTAATTTTACATAAATCCATTCTGGTTTAACAGGATTAACCATAGCAATCCAAATATAAATTAACGGGTAGAATGATGGCCATTGCAGCATGCAATTACCACCTCATTTGGATCTATTATTTGATTGACAAATCCTTTCAAAATTTCATTTCGACGACTACCATTGAGCCTTGAGATAGTACCGGATTAATCTTATTTCTGGAACTGAGAGATCCATGAATCGGGATCCTGATGACGATTCTTGTTCCTCCTCTGAGTTTTAGTCATAATTTAGAGGATCAAAATTACTTCTTTTTTCAGTAAAGACATCAGTCTGAACCATATTCTCCTGAATCTCTCTTAACTTAGAGCCAGAGGTCAAGAAAGAATAGGACACAAATCTATCTCATTGTGTGTTTAACTGATGGATTAATATCAGCATTCAATTGGGCGTTTAGTTGACAATCTTGCTTCAACCAAAATGTATTGCCACATAAAAAACTACACAGCAAATTAAATTACAAACTTTCCTTCTAGGTTTTTCAGGAAATTTGTGGAGTTCTATAAATCCAACCCTCTAGATACAACGAAATAGCGTTCTTGAAGCAACGGGAAAGAAAGCCACCTCGTCCGTTTTGCATTTCACCTGCTAGGACCCTATGTAAAGCTGCTGCAGAAAAAAAAATCACTACCTGGGTTTTATAGTAAAGATATGATACCAAATCCTTCAATCTTTTGGAGGAAAGAACAAAAAACCAAATGAAATCTCAAAACCATGGTTCAGATCTTCATCTAAAAGCCGAAAAATATGATCTCGTGTAATATCAGCTGTGACATGGCTGTTTAAAAATCAAAGAAAGCACTAGGGTTCGAGAATATAAGAGAAGAGAAAGTAAAGTGAACATGTGACAGTGGAACAAAAACAAAGATCAAAGGATTCGGTAATGCTTATACAAACAAAAGAAGGAAAATAAAATTAGGGGATGGATAAAAGCATAGAAATAGTTAAGTATGGGGGAAGAAAAGTAGCACCTTGATCCTTCGAACCAATCGCCTCCATTATTGGAACGCAGGGTGTGGGAGGTGGGAAGCTGGGGAGCGAGAAGGAAGAAATCTATGAGTCTATGGAGGCTGACCCTTTGTACGCTGTCTCGCCGAAATAGATTTAAGTTAACGTGTTAAATGAGAAGAAACTAGCGCATATGCGATCGTAAGGTCGGGTAAAGCTTTATGGCTTCTAAGAAATTTTTATGTGCGGTCTAAATTCTAAGCTTTAAATTAAAACGATATTTAGGATTAGATTGAGGTATTTAAAGAATATTAACAAAAATATTTTTGAGAGTAAGATTTTAGATCTTAAGATTTTATCTGTGCATGAGGATGCTAATATTATGTGGGAAAAAGTGGCTAGTGATATTAAGAATATTGCAAAAGATGTACTTGGGGTATCAAAGGGAAAAACTCCTAATAGTAAAAATAGTTGGCGGTGGAATCCAAATGTGCAAGAAAAGATTAACAATAAGAAAATTTGTTATAAAAATTGGTTTTATTTAAAAATTTCTGATAATTGGGAAAGATATAAAGAGGCTCGTAAGGAATCTAAAAAAGTAATATGCGAGGCAAAGACCTTAGTTTTTACTGATTTATATAATAGATTAGATACTAAGGAGGGAGAAAAATATATGTATAAGTTAGTCAAGCAAAGAGATAGGAGTAGTAAGGATTTAGCTCAAGTGAAGTGTATTAAGGATGAAGATAAAAAAATATTTTTCTTAGAAGATGATATTCAACCAAGGTGGATGAGATATTTTGCTAAACTTTTTAATAAAAATTTTGAAAATAAGATTGACTATAGTGACCTTAGCACCCTAAATGAAAATAAAGATTTTTGTTTTTATCGACGTATTAGTAAAACTGAAGTTAGAGAGGCTTTAAAGAAAATGAAGGGTGGAAAAGCTGTTGGACCTGATGATATTCCAATAGAGGTGTGGAAATGCTTAGGAGATGAAGGAATTTCTTGGCTTACTAAAATTTTTAATAATATTTTGAAGACTAAAAAGATGACAGATGAGTGGAGAATGAGTGTGTTAATTCCTATTTTTAAGAATAAAGGTGATGCACAAGATTGTGCGAATTATAGAGGTATTAAGTTAATGTGTCATACTTTAAAACTATGGGAGCGAGTTATGGAGCATAGGTTGCGGCGTGATACTAATATTTCTCAAAATCAATTTGGATTCATGCCGAGTAGGTCGACTATGGAAGCCATACATTTATTAAGAGGTTTAATGGAGAAATATAGAGAAAATAAGGAGGATTTACATATAATATTTATTGATTTATAAAAAGCATATGATAAAGTTCCAAGAGAAGTGCTATGGAGAGTTCTTGAAAAGAAAGGAGTCAATAATGCTTATATTCAAAAATATGTATGCAGGAGCTGTTACTTGTGTTCAAACACAAGGTGGATTGGCCAAGTATTTCCCTATTTCGGTTGGGTTACATCAAGGATCAGCCTTAAGCCCATATCTTTTTGCTTTAGTCATGAATGTTCTCACTAGACATTTGCAAGAGGATGTACCTTGGTGTATGCTTTTTGCTGATGATATTCTTCTTGTTGATAAGACTAGAGAGGGAGTTGAAGGTAAACTTGAATTATGGAGGTCAACCTTAGAGTCTAAAGGTTTTCGCTTGAGTAGATCTAAAACGGAATATATGGAGTGTAATTTCAGTAGTAATAGACTTAGTGAGGGGGTTGTGACTAGGTAGAGGCAGACCTAAAAAGACTTGGTTAGAAAATATTAGGAATGACATTTCTTTATTAGATTTAAATGAAAATTTGACCTTTAATAGGATATAATGGAGAAATGGATTCATGTAGCCGACCACACGTAGTGGGATAAAGGCTTGATTTTGTTGTTGGTCTAAATTTTAAAGATCAATTAAAACTCATCATGTCATTAAATGCATAAAGTTACACAGTAATAATATATAGTAATTAAATTAATGATATGACGTATTTTGATTGGCATCCATGCGTCGTACAGTATTCGGTGACAAGTAATAATTTCACGTGGCTTTTACAGTACCCTTGTGCCTGAATTGGAGCTAGCAAAAACAAAATTTTTAGCGGAAATGTTTTGTCGGGGAAATGTTTTGTCGATAAAAAATAAAATATGTATAATAAATTTAAAGGAGTATTTTTTTATTTAAATAAAAATTTAAAGAATTTCTTTTTGTAATTTAAAAGAGACAAGAGCATGACAAATTGATGGTGCCACTTATATTATGTGTGGACTCTGGATGTAGCTCTATGTTTGGACTCCAATACAATGTCGACACCTAACGGCCCGATAACCTGACCCAATGAAAATTTTAAAATCGCAGCATTTTAGTGAAAATTTTAAAATCGGGGTGTTTCACTTTAATTGAATCCGTTGTTTTAGGCGCTATTTATTTCAACCGAAGGATCGACCTTTTTTGTAGGAGAATTTCTTTGCGGAAGTTATGGCTAAGATCATATTCATGTCCATGAGAAAAAAAAACTATACTTTATCACCTGATATGTTGATAATATTTGTTCTGTAAATTGTTTATCTAATAGAGTTGTTGGGGTTTAGATTTATGGTTTAGAACAATTGCATGTTGTTGTAAAATGTGGTTTCTCGGTTTTCTTATAGATGTGTATTATAGAATTTATGTACGAAATATGTTTTGTACTTTATATTTATGTATATAGTTTTTGTGTATCATTGTTGTATAATATTGTGTACTCCTGTGATTTATTTTCCATTCGCAATATTAAGTTAATAGAATATTTTTAGTGATGTTTTTGTTCATTTTCTATACTTGTTAAGGTTGTGTATCTTTGTTGTGTACCGTTGTATACTATTTTTCATTTGCGTGATCAAGTTCATAGAATATTTTAAATAATGTTTTTGTTCATTTTTTATAATTGTTACTACTGTATACTGTTGATGTGTAGTGTTGTGTACCATTGTATACCATTGAAGTGTACTATTGTGTACTCATGTGATTTGTTCTTCATTCTCATGATCAAGTTCATAGAAAAATTTCAATGGAGTTTTTGTTCATTTTTTATATTATTTTTTATTTTGTGCCGTTGTTGTGTATTGCTCTGATTTATTTCACTTATATGATACAATTTTATAAAAAAAATTAAGTGAAGTTTATGTTCAATTTTTTTATGCTCTATACTTATGTATAACACTATTGTGTACTGCTGTGTAAAATGAATTATTGTTAAACACTTCGCATAATTTTGCAGGGGTTACCTTGTACTCATATGCTAATTTGATATGCAAATTTGATAAGATGATCTATGAATATCATACCACTACTTCCTTCGTGAGATGGGATCACTTTATTTCCCATATATGTAAACGTAAGGCCGAGCTGATCATCTTAGTAGTATGTACTTCGAACGAATATTAATTATATTTAATTAGCTTGTTACTCTCATGCGGTGAGAACATAGTAAATCCACCATGTCAAACTTCGCACAGTTGCATTGAATGGTACCCTCTTTTGCATCAAAATGAACAGTCCAATGAATCGACTGATCAATCTTCTTGATGCTTTTAAAAAAGAACGTAGATGAGCCACTTGAATCTGTTGGCCTCCGAAAGGACACCGCTCGGAGGGGGATAGAATGCAAAGGGTATGATCGCACTATCTCATAGGACAAAACAATCGCAGACCTTTACACTCTTCAAAAGCGGGCCAATATGAGGGCAGATGAGATCATACATACGATTAACCATTGAGGATAACAGCTTTCACCTACACACCTTAATAAATAATAATATATATAACATGATCAAGATCACGAGATTTCTCACACCTGATACATCAGCTCGAGTGGGGTTTATTTGATATGAGATTCGATTTCCCACGGGCGTAAGCCCCCGTGTTTAATTGCTTCTTAAGCCGGGGCCTATAAAAACTTTCAATTAAGTACTATATATTATTCTCTCAAATGAGATTGATACATAGGGAGAAGTCTATAAGATTCTTATTTAAGGGGAAAGAAAAGCATAACTTGGCTTAGTCAACAGGCACGGCTCACGGGATTGAGCCAAGCCAAGGTCCAAGTGCATCCAAACTTGATTTGGGCTCTAAATGGGCTAAATGGGTCAATTTTGACCCATTAAGACTTGGGTTGACCAAGTCAAATATTGACTTGGTCAACTCAGTCTATCATGCCCATACTTGGACAAAATCGAGGTCAACACTCACATCATCATCCAGATTCCAGAAGGACTAAGGTATTAAAAATAAATTGGAGAAAAGTTAACACTGCACTCTAAGCATACAAGAGAGAAAGATGGAGGTGACGTCATCCATGTGATGCATATATGTGAGATTTATAGCCTCTAAAGGATAAAAGACTTACCCGCTGATGAGGCATATTATGGAATATCGACAGTAATAGCCTTGAACTCTAAATCTATATTGGGATTAGTATTCTACACACAATACTAACACTTGCGTCGTAGCTAATTCATTCTGGACTTATATCATGCCTAAAAAAAAAAGTTAGCTAACCACTTAGTCATATAAAATCCATGTTATCCGATCTTTATGAAAGATGGGTAGGTGACTGAGTTTTTAAAAATTGAGGCCGACATCTAGAGAGGTTTCTAAGTGGCCTTATAGTTATAATGAGTATTATGCTTCTAAAATTAATGCTATTAAATTTTGATTTTCAGTTATTTCCTAATACAATGCATGCTAGTTAAAATCTTCAAATCATAAATACTTGAAATTTTAAAAAGGCTTACAAAATAATTTTTAGAAGACTAGACTTCCCCAAGATTAGTACTCCGTCCTCATAGGTCAAATTATTTGAACCATACACGTAAGCGGGGAAATGTCTAAACAAGGAAAGAGAATGATACATTAAGAAGTACGTGACCCCAGATGACATCCGGCTTATTCCCTATATCGTTATCTTTTTATATTATTTACTTCATAATATTTTAAATTTTAATTATGAGTAAAAAAAATTTATCCCTAAAGAGCCTAGTGAAATTAGACGCATACACATGCAAGAAAAAATCTATAAAAATATGTAATTTCTACTATGCAAGTAAAGTAAACACATAATTAAAATATCAACCATGATAAAAAAAGTCTAAAAATCCATGACAAGTGTCATATAATAT